ACAATAATACAGCATTGCATTTCAAAGCTCTATTCATTTACATATCTTCCTAACCAGTCTCTAAAGTTCGGCCATGGGTCAGGTCAGTCGGTGAGTTAATTAACTCTTTCTGGCCCTGTCATCTTTCAATGAGATATTATATTACACTCGTAACATCACATACCCTCTTAGACATTGGTGGCAAAGGGGACGGGGTCTGCCAAAGGGCCTTGACCACTTTCAGCACCCCTTCATGCACTGGCAGTGCAACCTTAGAGAGTGCTGCAGCCACCAGGATGTCAAAGAGGCTATGTGTTGGCTCTGTGAGCTCCTCCTGGTAGGCCGAAAGTCATCTGGTGGGAGAGACCTGAAACTGCTTCATCCGGGGATGAGGAGGATGAAGACAATACCAGGGAGGGGCTGTGGCACTTTCTACCGGGGAAGTTTCCCTTGAAACTGACACTTGCCCTTCAGTACCAGCATCAGAGACCAAGTCTGGCTTCTGCACCAGTGTAGGCGGTGCCGCAGACCGCTTGTTGGAAGTGGCTGCGGATGATTGGTGAGAGTATGGGCCTGGTATCACGGGGAGCTGCAGGTCCAGCTCTAAAGTCTGGTGCCCAGGCTGACCAATGCTTCTGAGGCTGCGAACTGAACTCCCCCTCTGACTCCAAGGAAGACTCCTCTCTCGGGGACCATGGCAGGGCAGTTGGTGCCTCCCTCAGTCAGCCCTGACAGGAGGCCGGAAAGCAGAGCTGCAAGGAAGGTGACTGGCAGCGTTCCGGAGAACGTACTGCTTAGGCAGGGACTGGAGTCGAGATGGTAGAGAGTGGCGTCGAGCTGGAGACCACGTCGAGGACCTTCGAGGGGTCGGCAATTGGTGCTGCAGCATCACAACTGTTGCCGAGAGGAGGGCAGCTGGTACCGGGAGGGTGGGCACTGACGCTGCAAGGTCAGTGAGCCACAACATGAAGCGCGAGAGCGTGAACATAGAGCCAGAGACCCGGGCCACGGGATCGGAGACTGTGGTTGTGGTACAGGAAATCAGGGCCGTAATGTGAAGGACTGGTGCCGTGACTCCGGGACCAGCAACAACTGAGTGCCCATTGCGGTGGTCCCATGGAGAGCTTCCATTTGGAAGGAGAAGCCTTCGCGCACTCTGCCGCTGACTGGAGAGCCCGTTGCGTAGGCGGTACTGGGAGGGCCATCAGGTCCCTGGCTGCCTCAAATGCCTCCATGTCGAAGGAACTGTTATATGTAGGGGTCCCCTACCGCTCCCAGGAGTCTGAGGTAGTTCCCTGGGTGGGCTCAGGGCCCTTGATGAAGAGGCTGCCCCTTGCCACTCCACCGAAGGCAGGTGGCCCAACACGGGTCCTTTACCTGCCCTCCCTTTCCTGTCCTTGCTCAGCACCGGGGAACACTCCTGCTGTTTTTTGCACTTCTTTCTTGGCATCAGCGATGGCAAATGGTGCCAGGGTGAGCCCAGGGCCAGTGGAGCACTCCATACCAATGAGAACGTGCCCAGTGCAGAGTCAGAATGGGATGGTTCTGAGGCAGGTATCAGAGCAGCCTCCATCAGGAGGGCTTTCAAACAGATACCTCTGTCCTTTTGAGTCCTTGGCTTAAAGTTCTTACGAATTCTGCACTTATCTTAAACGTGCGTCTCCCCCAAACACTTCAGACAACTTGCATAGCAGTCACTGATCAGCATAGATTTATGGAAAGCGGAACATGGTTTGAAGCCCGGGGACCAGGACATGCCCCATGCCTAGGATAATGTCCCTAACGGGACCATTAACTAACTCTAATTTACTAACTACAAAATACTAACTCTACTGAACAACTATATACAAGAAACTATGAAAGAGAACCACTGTAAATGCTTGCAGTCGCAAGAACAACTGTCATGAGCAGTAAGAAGGAACTGAGAGGGCACAGGGCTAACGGCACCTCATATACCAGTGCAAAAGCGCAACGCTCCAGGAGGCGCCAGAGCTGGCCCTACAGATACCACTAAGGCAAAAATCTTCAACAGCCACGGGGGCGCACACACATAACATGGCATTGACATGAGCAAACATTTGAAGAACTCCTCCATTTTCTGCAAAGCAAACGTGAAAGTTCTCCCACTTCCTGAATATCTAAAATATGAGCCTCGTTCTCCCCAGTGCAGCATATACACAGCACTTCACTCATGAATATTTAAAGAAGTTGTTTAGTGACAAGGAAAATAACTGCTAAATACTGGCAGAATAAAATGGTCAATTGAAAACACACACAACTCTTGTAAAGAATCTAACAGTGACCCATATGTGAACCCACTATACCAATTTAATTTTTCTCTTCCCTTAGATAACGTAACTCCACATAGCATATAAAGTACTGAAAAGACTATCACTATCTTGAAACATAAGAAAATGAATCTGAGTCTGTCTCATGCGGATCACTGTTGAACCTATTGGCTGAAGCGAATTCCAAAATAACAATTAGGATTTATGTAGCATTTCACATTTTCAAAGCACTATATGATCACCAGGGTCCTGATTCTGATCTTGCACTGGTGTAAACCTATCAACTTCAACTGATTTGCTCCTGATTTACAACACTTTTAAATCAAAAAAAGATCTAGCTAATTAAGCCTCTCAACACATCTGTATGAAAGGTATCATTTATCCTTATTTTACAAATTAGGAAACAAACAGTGAGGGTAAATGAATTGCCCAAGCACACACATACCTAGACATATCTCATATAGGTTCCTGTTTCTAGTTTAAGTTAAATAACTGTTTAGGACTCTTGATTAATTGCAGTTAACTCACGCAATTAACTCAAAAAAAATTAACTGCGATTAATCGCAGTTTTAATCGCACTGCTAAACAATAGAATACCAACTTTCTATTATCAACCAAATTTATTAAATATTTTGAATGTTTTTCTACATTTTCATATATATTGTATTCTGTGTTGTAATTGAAATCAAAGAGTATATTATTTTTTATTACAAATATTTGCACTGTAAAAATGATAAACAAAAGAAATAGTATTTTTCAATTCACCTCATACAAGTACTGACTGTAGTGTAACCTTTGTCATGAAAGTGAAACTTAGATTTTTTTTGTTACATAACTGCACTCAAAAATAAAACAATGTAAAACTTCAGAGCCTATAAGTCCACTCAGTCTACTTCTTGTTCAGCCAATTGCTAAGACAAACAAGTTTATTTATATTTACAGGAGATAATGCTGTTCTCCTCTTATTTACAATGTCACCAGAAAATGAGAACAGGCATTTGCATGGCACTTTCGTAAACGGCATTGCAAGGTATCTCCATGTCAGATATGCTAAACATTTGTATGCCCCTTCACTCTTTGGCCACCACTCTAGAGGACATGCTTCCATGATGATGATGCTCGTTAAAAAAATAATGCATTAATTACATCTGCGACTGAACTTCTTGGGGGAGAATAGTATGTCCCCTGCTCTGTTTTACCCGCATTCTGCCATATATTTCACGTTATAGCAGTCTCAGATGATGACCCCGCACATGTTGTTCATTTTAAGAACACCTTCACAGCAGATCTGACAAAACACAAAGAAGGTACCAATGTGAGATTTCTAAAGGTAACTACAGCACTCAACCCAAGACTTAAGAATCGGAAGTGCCTTCCAAAACCTGAGAGCGATGAGGTGTGGAGCATGCTTTCAGATGTCTTAAAAGAGCAACACTCTGATGCGGAAACTACAGAACCCAAACCACCAATAAAAAATTATCAACTTTCTGCTGTTCTGGCATCTGACTCAGATAATGAAAATGAACATGCGTCAGCCCACACTGCTTTGGATCGTTATCAAGCAGAACCCATCATCAGCATGAACGCATGTCCCCTGGAATGGTGGTTGAAGCATGAAGGGACACATGAATCTTCAGTGCATCTGGCAAATAAATATCTTGCGATGACGGCTACAACAGTGCCATGAGAATGCCTGTTCTCACTTTCAGGTGACACTGTAAACAAGAAGCGGGCAGCATTATCTCCTGCAAATGTAAACAAACTTGTTTGTTTGAGCAATTGGCTGAACAAGAAGTAGGACTGAGTGGACTTGCAGGCTCTAAAATTTTACATTGTTTTACTTGTGAATGCAGTTTTTTTGTACATAATTCTACATTTGTAAGTTCAACTTTCATGATAAAGAGATTGTACTACAGTACTTGTATTACGGGAATCAAAAAATACTATTTCTTTTGGTTATTTTACCGTGCAAATACTTGCAATAAAAAAAAATATTATATAAAGTGAGCACTGTACACTTTGTATTCTGTGTTGTAATTGAAATCAATATATTTGAAAATGTAGAAAACATCCAAAAATATTTAAATAAATGGTATTCTATTATTGTTTAATTGCGCTAGGGTTACTTGTCCCTATCACCTCCTTAGGTCCTCACTGCCCCGCCCCCCCCAACATAGGGACCTAGCATGGCATAAGGAGAACCTCTTATGTTGGGGGCAGTGGGGTGGTACTGGTGTCTGTCATATTCCTTTGCCTAATTAACCCAGGACTTTTTGGTATTAGGAGTGCTTGGTTCTCTCCAACCCCATCCCAAGTTGAATATAAGGGTATGTCTACACAGCCCACAGCAGCAAGTCTCCGAGCCTGCCTCCTCTCTAGGCTTCAGAACCAGAGCTCCAGCCCAAGCTGAAACCTCAAACAGCTATTTTTACAGACTTAGGTTTGTGCTAGTTCTATCAGCCGGGCTGGGAGGCTCGCTCCCAAATGCTGTGTAGATATACCCTCAGAGGCCCTAGTGCAGTTCCCATATGACACACAAGCTAAGGAGCTATTTTCAGCAGCCAGGTCTGGTTCTGCCTCATGCTTCCCCATCATACTGAATCAGAGTATGTTTAATATACTGTCATTTTGCTAATTAAATACCATTCCAAGTGCTCCCTGTCCTCTTTTGCTGTCAGCCTACATTACCTAGCTGCTGGATCAGACAAGATTTATAAGTTAAGTGTGGTTTACCTGTTAGATAGCACAGCTCAGGGATCAGGTGGACAACACGGGGTTCAACAGTGCTATTCTGCTTACTTTTCAATCGGCTAACCAGCACAGGCTGATTTAGGTCAGTCAGGACTATATCATACTGCTGTAAGGTGAAATATTATTGAGGTAAAAGTTAATCAGGAGATACTGCACCACATTCCAGATAATTAGTCAAATCTGCTCATAAGCTGCAAGTTTTCCACTGGCTGTGTTCTGGGCTGTACAATAAAGACCAAATTAATCTTGTCCACATATAGAGATACACGCACCCCCCCTCTCCGGAGGTACAAAAGGAGAAGGAAAGCAGATTTTCCCAACCACATGGGATTCCTCTTGTGTAGAGGAAATCCTGTGTGGTAAAACTGGCATAGATACCTCTAAACCAGCCATTCCTTACTCTCCCGATGTATAGGGCATACAGTGCAAGAGCCGAAGCAGGCAGTGGTTCAGCTATCCCCAGCTCAGGGGATGGATCCTCAGGAACCATAGCTAACTAGACATAATTCACAACAGAGACTGTTCTAAATTGCACCAGTTGCCAAAAACAGCCCCCAGGATTAGGGGGAAGGGCAGAGTGTGAGGTCCAGTACACTGAGAATCTAGACCTACGTTTTTATCCTGTGCTTCTAACATCACTCAAAACTACTTTCTGGAAAGATATTGGGCCTGACTCCACTGTTAATCGCTACCAAATAGGAATAGCTAATATTTTACACAGGTCTAAATACCTACACAAGGCAGTACAGAATCTTAAGTTTTCTTGTATGATATTTTCTGCTACGGTTTCCATGCTGCCGCCACTATCACCTCCTATATTCCTTTTCTGGTTTCCACATGTATTTAGAATAATCTTTTGCTTCCAGTGAAAGTGATTCCTGCCCAACCAAAAGGGATAAGAATGAAATATTGTCTTCTCTGCATATCAACATGCCAATCCCTACCTTTCTGTATTTTCTTGTACTTGTAAAGAACCAGTTCATATTATAAAGACAGAGGTTCTAATTCACCATCACTTCCAATACAACTCAGACACTAACAAAGGAGAAAATGGAATCAAAATGTATAAAGTGACTTTATACGTGTAGACATAAAGGGAGGTATCAGACTAGCTAGCTACTTTATATAGCTGCATGAATAATTACAATGAAAGGCCAGATTCTGTTATCAGTTATACCAGTACAAATCAGTGGAGTTACTGAATTTACTCTGGCACTAACAATAAGACCATTCAGGAAAGGTATAATTGAAGGTACAAGGCCAAATGCACCCAACAAGTGTGAATAGTTCCAATTTTATCTTTTGACCTAATTAAACCTTTAAATGAAAAGCAGCAATACTTTACCTCGATCTAATGTCTCAAAATGTGATTAGGATAGGATGCCTCCAATAAGACCAAACGTAAGCCTGCCCTTAAACAAACATATGAACAAGGGCAAAGATGGACGACATTCTAACTACTGTACAGTTGTGTTCCCAGCACTGGAACTAATGAAATATAACACCTTTTAATGTGTATTGTACATGCAGCATCTTAAGAGGATGAGCAGATTTTTTCCATATTAGCACATTTATGTGCATTGAAGCATATTAAACACAAAAAGGGACTATTTCTAGTTTTATTGTACATTGGTAATATAGATTTTTAGATATTTAACTATTTTTAGATATTTAAAATTACTTTTACTAATAGAATACAATACAGTAGAGATGAGTGTGAAAATGCTTTTTGCCACACACTAAGTGTACTCATGATTTTATTAATGTTCATAAAGTGCTTCAAATATGTAAGTACCACGTAAGTGTGAAACATCATTATTCTTAGGAATTCACCGTAACTTATCTTTTACACATGTATGTTTATGGATGGAGCAATGTTTGCTCTTACTTGCCAAGAGCACTCTGTCCTGAGCATATTTTAAAGACAATGGAACAAGTTAAAGTTCTATTACTTTTCGTAAGAGGGTAAGCCAAATGCTCTAATATATAGAATGCTGTTAATATTTCACACCTATAAAGAACTATTTCATCTCCAAAACTCTTTACAAATAGTTCCTCATCCTAGAACATGGCAAAGTGTTCCCAGAGTCCATTAGTAAAAGTAATTTTAAACATCCGAATGTAATAGTATTGTATTTCCAATGTACATCATACTACTAAAAATGGTTCCTTTTTTGTGTTTTTTGTGTTTAATATAGAAAACCTTGGTCATACTTGCCACAATTACAGCGCCAGTACATTTAGAAGCGACCACACAAAATAATATAAAACATTTTTTTTGTTTGTAACAGCTTCCTAGTTTTTAACCTACCTGCTTATAATAATCAACGTAAGAGATTTCAGTGCCATCACGTTTTGGAAATGTGTCCGTTGGCTTCACGCACCAGTCAATATCATCAATACGGTAGGTTTTATTGTTATATCTACGAAAATGCAGAATAAGTGAGGGGATTTAATTGCTTGGCCTGTTTAAGTGTGGTATAAATGACTGCAGCCATAAGTCTTCTTCAGTACAGAGACTTGTCCATTTGGAAATATGCGGGGGGTGAGGGGGAAGCTTAGAATGGCACAACAAGTATTATCAGTACTACGCCTAACAGTTTTACATGATGTTGTCTTCTATATTTTCTCAGAGGATAAAACTTGCACCTTTAATGAATTTTCAGTAGTACAATAAAAACGTTAAAAAAAAATCTGATCAAATATTACTGAAAACCAGACTGATTAATTTACAAAAGACAGTTTTAACATAGATGTACCAGGAGAAACATATTTACTCTAATAACTTAATTTTAACTACACTGAATTGTTTAAAAAAAAATCCAAGGCTCCAAACCAGCAAAGACACACGCATGCATTAATTTTATCTACTGCAAGTATTCCCACTGAGGCCACTGGAATTACTCACAGCACCCTAAACATAATGACATGCATACGTCTTTGCAGGATCAATGTGCAAGCTTTGAAGACATCAAATTCAAGGAGTACATATCCATCATTCCTTCCAGGCCAGAAGGAAGAGGTGCTGCAAGAGCAATCCAAACAGAGAGAAAACAGACTAAAATGGTGTGCTACCTAGCCCCAAGAGGGGTTGAACAGTGACCCAACATCAGACACCAGAAGGCTCTGTTTAAAAATCAGAATAAAAAAAGAAAGATAAGAGTCACACTGTGGTACATGTAGCAGGCAAAAGAAATCAAAGCCCTGCCCAAATCCAGGTTCTGCTGGGTGTTTTTTGGCTTCTCCTGCTCCAATCCCCACAGAACAGGAGGATCATGCAGGGGGAAGGTCAATAATGGCCAGCTCAATCTTCTATTCTAGAGACAGTAAAGTCACAGTGAGGGGAGAAAACTGATGGCCCACTGCCTCTCCAAGGGGCAGCAATTCTCTGATAGGGAGGCTCCCTCTTAAAGAGGCCTCCCATAGGAGTTTCTTTTTCTGGCAGAGACACCCAATGCACTCCTCTTCATGGGACACCCAGCTTTCTTTCATGCCCTCCTGCTTTTGCAGATCTTTCTACTGCAAGACACACCTATAATCTTTAATAGACAGCAATCTCCTGCCTCATGAACACTTAGTTTATGAATGACATAAGAAACCACTACAACTTTTAATATGGACTACCACTTTTAAAGTAGAAAGAAGTGCAAAAAGCCACTATGCACAAATAGTTCTAGTTGACAGGACACCTGAGTCAACAGCACAGCAAAATAAATAGTGATGGCTTTACCTTGTAAGCACAATAAGTCCTAGCAGCTCCTTTTCACATGTTTGTATGAAGCACACTCTGTCAATCCTGGTATACAGACTTGTCATGAATTCCAGAACAGTCTCACTGCGAAGGACTTTATGGCTCACATCAGCACTTAACATCACTCTGTTCTCGAACTGTGTAATGGAAACAGCAAATCCTGGCCAAAGAGTCAGCCTTACGGAATGCAAAGAAAAATATTTAAAATAACTATTTTTGAATTAACCCACATTTAACAATGTAGGTCCACTTCCACCATCTTGGCTGCCATGTGTTTAAAGTTAAGTTTTGCACATTTATTGCTACACAAACATGCAAGAAGTATAACCTCTCTCTCTTCTCGCACTGGTAATACAAAGAGTATCACCACTGGCTTGCCTAGCTCCTGCTGCTCTGCGTTACAGTGGAGATTCTGTACCCAAGTTCCTGCTGCAATTTGTATTAAAAATTCAGCACATCTTAAGAATGGCAGGGATGCTGTTCAAACGCAAAGCTCAGACATTAAAACTATTCTCCAGCAAGATATACTGGAAAGGGTTTACACAGTACCATAAACTGTTACCAGAAAATTCTAGAATTAAAGGGAGGAAAAAAACCCCAAACCTTACTTGTGCTGGGGAATTTCCACTGGATCTGAAGGACTGTAGAAGTTCCGTCCAACTTGGTACATGGACAGCTTTTTCCAAACCCTATGTATTAATGCATATTTTTCAACACATCACATAAGTATAATTCTTAGAACACACCGAAAATAGATGATGGTTTTAACTCATTATTAGAGCATTAAATTTTAAGTTAACCAAATTCACAATAGAAGCTGAACTCACAACGCAAGTCTCAAACCTAGCTATATTCTTGACTCCTGGGGGAACTCTGTACAAAAAAATTTAAAAATTCTGCTCACAATATTTTAAAATTCTGCAAAATTCTGCATATTTCATTTGTTAAACTAATGCAATATAGAAAAGGAGTACTTGTGGCACCTTAGAGACTAACCAATTTATTTGAGCATGAGCTTTCGTGAGCTACAGCTCACTTCATCACTTCACGAAAGCTCATGCTCAAATAAATTGGTTAGTCTCTAAGGTGCCACAAGTACTCCTTTTCTTTTTGCGAATACAGACTAACACGGCTGTTACTCTGAAACCTGTCATAATGCAATATAAACATGCTGGATTCAATTATTTTGGAAATTTATTTAAATTACAATACAATGGATGGAGAATGGGAGTGGGGTGCATAGGAGGAAATCCCCAAACCCCCTTTGTCTAATAGTAATGTAGCTAGGTCTGAGCCTTTACTTCAAATTATTAATCGAACACAAATAGATGCAGCCATCTCACTAGGAGAGTGGTGAGACACTGGAATCAGTTACCTAGGGAGGTGGTGGAATCTCCTTCCTTAGAGGTTTTTAAGGCCTGGCTTGACAAAACCCTGGCTAGGATGATTTAGTTGGGGATTAGTCCTGCTTTGAGCAGGGGGTTGGATTAGATGACCTCCTGAGGTCCCTTCCAACCCTGATATTCTATGATTCTATGATATGCTCACTGTTACATCATAGGCAAATGAAGAGCAAGTGAGGGTTGGAGAATCAAACTCATAATTTATATTGGCTACTGACCATCTCCAAAAAGATCAGTAGCAAAGAGTTCATGGAGCACATTTTGATAGGAAAATTTGTTCAGTCCAGAAATTTAGACCAGTTCTAATCACTAACGCACCATAAGCATTTATAAGGCCACACTGTCCTTTACAACAAGGATCCTTTAGACTATTCTGGCAGTGTAAAGGAGCCTTAAAACTTTTACACCCGTTTTATACTCCTGGGGGAATTCACTAAGAACAATGGGTCCAATTCACTAAGCAGGCAGGCTGCTACATTCTGCTCTGCCTAAGGGGATAGAGCCTGCCCCTCCACGCCAAGTGTGCCACAATAGCAAGCAAGACTGACAGAATCTCTCTCTCTCACGCACACACAACTGTCCAGCCTCCCCCCCCCGGCAACCCCCCGGCAGTGAATTACATCTCTACTGGCTGCTCTGGGGGCCTGAACCAATATGTCAGCACTGCAAGGGAAGGGCACATGACAACTCTTGCGGCCCCCCTTTGCTTCTCTGTCAGAAGACATTTTTCTGCAGGGAAGCAAAGAAATATGCAGAGATCATGAATTCTGTGCACGTGAAGTGGCACAGAATTCCCCCAGGAGTAATTCTTCAAACAAAGCTATCTTCTAAAAACTGCTCAGGGTTCAAGACAGTAAGTTGGACTTGAAAATTAAACTATATCTAGTAAATCTCACAATCTACTGTGCAAGAAAAAAAATTAAAAAGAAAAAGACCACATCCAGATCAGTGACACACAGTCAAAAGGAAAAAAGGGGCAGTTCAAAAACCAATATCAGCTATAATACCTTAGTACAAACTGGAAATACTGCAAGAGTTCAGAACCACAGTAGCTAGTACTACCCCGTTCTATTGAAAGGTCTAAGGCACAATTGATAAGTGAAGTCAAAAAGTCTGTGTGCTGGCAATTTACAAACACTTTTGGTATGGGGGCAATGAGGCCACACAGCTGTGAGATTTGATTAAGACAGTTGAGTTATACCTGCATTATGGAATATAAGAAATGAATTCATTCCAATGGTTTTTATAAAAGAAAAAACATGTCCTTTAACAAATGCACACAATTCCATTAAGTCCATGTATTGAGCTATTAATATGTTAAGGAAGTGCAGAATCTCAAAAATTTGACCAACTTCAAAATTCAAATGGAAATCACTACTGCTGCCCAAAACTCTGGACATAAATAAAGCTTTAATAATAGGTAATACTACTAAATAATGACAGTATCACATTTATCGTAACACTTTCATCAGAAGGCTTCCAAAGCACTTTGTGAACTGTGCAGCATAAACAGGAATCACTGCATCCACTAATGAAATGCGGAACCCCACCCCCTCCACCACTTCCCAAAGTGGACCATGGCAGCTGTTTAATAGAGCACACCAACACTACACAATAGTTAGGCTGAGAAGAGAAGAAAGCTTCCTAACAGCACTATCAAACCCATAATACCTTTAATACCCAAAAAAGTACAAGTCTAATTTATTTATTAAGTAGAAATTTCACTTAATAGGAATAAGACATTCCAGACAATACATTTGAGGAAATAATTAATCTCATGGAATCAGATTAAATCATTCGGCCTTAAACATTTTGCCTTATAACACTAATCAGACATTTCTTTAATAATCTAGAAATATACTGCTTTGTATTCTATATCCCACTTCACGTCATAACTTCAGAGACAACAGTCCTTGAACATCTTAAAATAACTACTTCAAACATAATACCAACCTTTTTTCTAAGTATCAGGAGAGTAACAAAACAGAATCCCACAAAAATACATGAACCACAGAAATAAATCAAAGTATTTTGTGTGCAGTCAAAAACAATACAAATTGGTCTAATTGAGAAAACATAGAACATACCAGTTTCGCAATAATTTGTTTACACACTTAACACTGTTTCTTATCTTAAGAGCTCAAAGATGCATCCATCTGAAAGGCTTTCCCATTCTGCTCGGACGCACATGAAGGAGAATATTTTATTAGAAGAGTAATGCTACCACACGTCTCCTGCAACTGTTCTCTTTAATATTTAGGTTAAAAGATACTGCATGCCTGAGCACAGTATGGTCCTAATTCTGCTCCTAATGAAGTTAATGAGAATTTTGTCAAGAACTTAAATAAAAGTAAGAAGCCATTTTGTTCCCTAGTTAGCATTTGGAAAGGTAACAAAACTTTGACACCGGATGAAATTCATGGCTCTGGAGAGGACCTGCACAAAACTGTACGCATCATTTAAATACCACTTAAAACTTGGGTTAAAGACTTACAGACATGTAACGGTAAGTAGGAAATTGCGCAGGCCCACTCACAAGGGTGAATTTTATTCCAAAATAATTATCAGTTTTCTAAAGTGGGTAAGTTGCTCTTTTCTGACTTGACACTATGAATTATTACGTGTCAGTTTGAACTGGTAAAAAGCTGGGTTATGGATACATCTGAGTTCAGGTTTGGTTTAAAAGCAACTAAGTAATACAACTGTTCCTTTATTTCAGGAGATCTCAAACACCAAATTAGCATCCAAATTAGTGCCAACACTGCACTGCACAAAATTCGTATTTGCATACACATTTATGTGCTAGGTAAACCATAATTACTTAATTTGTGTGTAAATATGGATGGGCACAATTTCTTCAGCTGTGTTTGAAAGTGTGGCCCTCTATGTCACAACCCATCAATACATTTTTTTAAAAACCAATATGGAAACTCTTAACCCAAGGTTTACTTAGAATTATGTAAAGAGCTTTGCCCTTATTGACTTCTATTGAGAATGATTTTCACACAAGTAAAAAGACAGCACAGGAAATCTGTATAATATGTTTAATAGTCAACAGTCAAAATTCACTACTGGCTGAAGTGAAGCAGCTTCTCTGGAGTAAATGGTGTTGTGAGTGAAATTTATTTAAAAAAATCTTTTCCATAACTACTTCTGGCAACAATTTTTTTTTACTATGTACCAAACATCAAGAGATTTTCAACCCACATTTTTACAACCTGAACAATCGAAAAAAATCAGATGCTACTAGATATGCAACTTTTTAGAAGTTTAATTTTCACAAAGTTTTTGATAAAGCCATATATTTATGCTCCAGCTTTAACAGTTAATCTCAAACAAACACTTTCAAAATCACTTACTTTTTGAAGATGATATTGAAAAACTGAATGCACACAGGGGAACTTGATGCTAGCTGATTTGTTAGTGTAATGGTAATATTTACAGTCTCACCTCTTTTCGTTATACTCGATAATTCTGTAACCTAAGAAAAAATTCAAAACAGGTACATACAATATTCAGGCCACATCTTACCTTGAATATAGAATAGTAGTTGTAAAAGTCTAACTGCCCAAAAATGAATCCTATATTACTTTTCAGATAATTTGTCTTTTCATTGATTTTCTGGGATCAGGAAGTTAATATTCAGAACAAGGACTGCAACTAATGCAAAAATTAACTGGTCAGGCAGGCCTTCAATCAACATATCCAGAGCACTGTGTTTATTGGCATAATCATTACTCTCCCAAAGACAGAGCTTTCCTATCATGCAAAGGTGACTGATGATTTAAAATTTATTTCTGTGCCAGAAAACTACTGCTACCGTATAACCCAGAAGAAGCTAAAGGGTTGTGGCATTTTCTTCCATAAACCCATCTAAAAAGCTCCCTGGTTTACAAGTCTTCTCCCTCCCCCCGCCACTTACTCACCTTTTGTTCCAGTAATATGTTTCAAACTGCAGACTACTGAAACACTTGCAATATTACTAAAAAACTTGAGACTGAGAAGTGCTTGTAAGGCCACCAAACACCGAGAAATATGACTAGAGTGCAATAGCAATTTTAATACGGTAAAGTGAAGCCAGTTCAGTGTGCTATGTGAAGCCCCAGAAAATAAAAAACTGTACATTATACTTCTGTCTTTTTCTACTTTTTAAAAACATATTGTATTTTCAAGCTTTGAAAAGTGTTAGATTGACAGCCCGGGAAACTGATATCCTCTATTAGCTTAATAGATATAACAAACAGTTGAAATGGGAGCTATGCTCAATTAAAGATTGCCAAACTTTATGCATACATGCAGCACTAATGAAATGCAGGCACCTGTGGGTAGAAGGACAGAAGTCAGACAAGACAACCAGCATGTAAAACTCTACACATCAGAAGATGGTGGCCAGGGTAATTTTGGCCAAGGACATTGTTACAAATTCCAATCTCACAGGAAGTGCCATCTTTAGTGTCCTCACAAAGCAGACAAGCCTCATTTTTTGAAGATCCACATACACTAAAATGCATGGAATTCAATATATCTCCCTTGGAAGGATGATGAACTGAACTGATCTTGTTATTTCAATCTTAGTATTTAGCTCACTAGACCATCCTCTCCGGCAGTAGATGCTGCCAACACTAAACAAACTTCAGATAAGAGGAGATGGCTTGGTCACAAAATTATTTAAACTATTTTAAACAAATAAAGCAAAAGGTTTTGGGGAGGGGATAGTTTCAGCTCGTTCATCCTGCCAACACAAAGGTCATAATTAAGATGACAGTGGCTTTGTGGTAATGCAACAGTGCACAAGACACTTATCTTCACCTGATTTTCCAGCTTTTGAGAAAGAAAAAGGATAGCTCCATCAAATACTTTGGCTCTTCCAAGAAGTTCAGTATGACCGTAAAGCAAAGCAAGGCGCAGGCGCCTTGATTCCAACTCTGGATTAAATGTTACATGGTATTGGTAAAGCTGCCATTCCCTGGGCAAACCTAAGCTATATAGGTTTGTGACCACTTTCACTGGAATTCCACTGAAGCCTGAAAGACATAATAAGTTTATTTCTTTTAAGACAAATATTACTACCAAAAATATTTAAATCATGTTAAATAACTACAGGCAATACTTTATTGCCCAGTAACCTTAAGAAACAACACAGAGATCTTTTTGACAAAAAAGTCATCAATAAACAAATACAAGTCAATCAAAATGAATGCCTTACCAACATCAAAACAAGTAGATGGAACACAATGTCTAATGAAAGATAAGATGATACAAATGGGCTGGCAAAAGTAATTTCCCACTGCCAACGTAGGTTATTTTACAAAAATACACTAAAGATTAGTTTATTTCTCCCAATTAACTATTTGATGGTGATTGCAAACATACCTGTCGAAAGAACTGAAGAAATGTAAGAAAATAATAATAATAAAGCTCCAAATAAATATGGTAAAATGGGCATTTTGTGTGTATGTATGTATATATATAAAAAACAGCCTTTGATTTCTTATTCTGAAGGATCACGAAGACCAGACCTATGACCAATCACCAGGTTACACACAGAGAGATGCCCTAATGTGTACTGTTCTCGAGACATAACTAAGGAACCCTGCTGGTGTCAGCTTGTAAGGGTTAGGTCAGACTGCCCGCTCGTGGTCTCTCTCGCGCTCTCTCTCTCAAAAAAGCAGTTTTGTAAAACGCTTATTACTACCATATTTTATATTCCAGACAAACCATGACACATATAAATGGGGTCACTGTACTTAAGCAGAGCAAGTTTGCTTTTAACTGCAAACCAAAACTGTTTTGCAGTATAAAAAAAACAGTACACCACCACAATGTAGCCGATTTTTTCTAAAATGTTCACTCATTCCAGTTATACTTGCCCCTTTGAAATGCATGCTAATGTCTGACTAAGAAATAATACTGTGTAATTCTGTATCATGTTCCATCCAAGGATCTCAAAACACTTAAATATTAATGGATTAAGACAGACAATACCCTTGTGAAGTAGAGTGCTGTTATCCCCATTGTATAGATGGGGAGACTCAGGCATAGAAGGCTTTATAAGTACTTTACATAAAGTCACACAAAACGTAAGTGGCAGATTCAGTAACAGAAGACAGATCTGACTCCCGGTCCTTTGTTACACCCATAAGATCACATTTCCACTTTAGTGGAATTTTGTGTTTAGCAGAGACTATATTTTTCTATGAAAAAATGAAATCAAATGCCCTATTTGTTTGATACACAACATTCTTGATTTTGAACAATGTTGAAAGTCAATCTTTGAATCAGTTTCTAAATACTAATATTTCATTTAACAAATACAAGAGACACATTTATGCCACATTTTACTAGAGAAGACATGTTTATTCTATTTTTTTTTAAACTAAGAAAGATTTTCTCTGGTTAGATATATTAACCCCTTGGATTCAACAGATCAGGAGCGCCTGCCAGAAGACCTAATGCAAAATGTATTATGTCATGTCAGAGAAGCTTAACTTCGGAAGCCAAGAAAGTTGAAATATATCATACAAGTAACACAAAGAGAATTTAGATGCCAAAAATTAGACATCTCTGAACATTCTCTTGACAACTTGAAACTCCTGGAAGGGGGTGAGGATATACTCTGAGGTAACAAGCACCGCAACTCCAAGTTAAGGGCTCTCAGCACTTTGTACATGCATAATTTCATGTTCCCATGTACTAACCAATTACTGTGGGCTTGCTGCTGAAACATATGGAGCTCTTGCAGCTCGCTGAAATCAATGGACTACTAGTACTCAGCACCTCCCCAAATCAGGCACTTAGAAGACAAGGCTAACCTGAAGGAAATGGAGTTACTCTACCTGTTTTACAGTCTTTCACATGTGCCATAGTTTCTCTAGTATTTAGTCCCAAATCTTGAAAGTTACATCGGGTCTTTCCCCCTCTCTCCAGCAGTGTGCATCCAGAATCCCCAGCAGAAAGGCCATCTTGAACAGAAATGTGGAAAGAACTGTAAAATGTATTCATTTTTGTAAATCCAGCAAAATAACCTAAGAATTCATAAATTTGGACACAGGTAGTTCTATAGCCTTCAGCCTATTAGCCTTCAATTTTTGTCATCCTAATAGCAAGAATTAGGTTATATAAATGGAATATGTTTAACTGGATTTTATTTGGACAGCAGCACATAAAATATGTAATAACGAGATGCAAAATCACTTTTTAATAACCAGAGCCTGAGCTACCACGATTGTAACAGCAGCATTAACAGCACCTTATTCTTAATGTAAGCAGAGACAGGGTGGGCTCCACCCTGACATCTGGTGGTGAGGTGTGGCAAGTTGTGGAAAAGAACTTCAGGGGCTGATCTCATTTGCATAGGCACACCCACCCCGCCTAGAATGAGGCCATAACTGCCCAAATGGTCACTTTGGCTGCTGAGGGATCCCCAGTGTCTCTGTTATTGGGGCGGGAAGAATAAATTGTTAGTACCCTGATTATGGGAACTGTGCTTGGAACTGTACTTGGCCTTTTTGTTATGATGGAGGACTCACCATCAACTGAGTAGCACTCACTAGGCAAGGGACATGGGTTCCAAACTCTGTGAATTGACAGAGACTTGAGACAGGTATTAGTGCCTGGTGGTGTAGGCCCCTTTGTGAGGGCCTGAAGCACCAATTGCACCTCTGTCTCTCTCCACTGTGGAATGTCAGAGCTAATTTTGGGTCTATTAAGAGTTTTGTTACAGGTACTGTACTGAATTCACCTCAGCCTTATGGTGCACCAGCACTAAGGCTCCCACTACTATGAGCTGAAATCACTGAGCACTGTGTCAAGTAGTGGGGAGCCGGAAGATCTAGTGTGCAGTGGAGCTATTTGTGAGACGGCGGGGTGGGCGGAGCCGGTCGTGAGACAGCGGTGTGTTCGTGAGACGGCAAGCTGTGCAGAGCGGAGCCCTGTGGGGCAGTCAGCTTCAGGACACGTAAGGTGCCCCTTACCTCTTTCCCCCACACCCAGGCACATTTTAGCCAGACTGGGGAGTAACACTCTGCAGATGAACTTTTGAACTCCAGGGCTGGACTTTTTTTTTTGACTTTGGGTGATTTGGGGATTGCTGGACTCAAGAGACGTTTGGGTTCTGGGACTCAAGAGCCTGAGGGAAAGGATGTGGCCCAATTTTTCTGGGGTGGGTCGGTGTTCATGGTTTGGTTAATGAACACTAGTTGTGGTGTTTCCCCAATTTAATGTTGATGTTGTTTACTTCATGTTATTAAAGATTCTCTACTACACCAAGACTCTGTGCTTGCGAGAGGGGAAGTATTGCCTCCTTGAGGCGCCCAGGGGGTGTGTAAGATTTTCCCAGGTCACTGGGTGGGGGCTCGAGCCAGTTTTGCATTTGCTTTAATGAGAGGGAACCCCTGTGTACTGAACCCGGCCCTTGCTGCTATCAACTTGGCCTGGCAGAAGGGTTACATTAAAGTAGTTTAAAAAATAAATTCCTTTTTAAAGACAATGAATGTCAAGATGTTTTCACATTTTTATACAAGACTTGCAACTCATTTATGTCTTTATACTTCATTCTGTCTATAATTTCCTAATACATGTTAATACATTCACTTAGAAAACAAGCTACTTTACAGTGGCTAATAATAATAAAATAATTACCTTATTATTAATATGTATTCTACTAGCACCAGGAGCCTCAGTCATGGACCAAGACTATTGTGCTATGCCCTGTACAAACAGAGAACAAATAGATAGTCCCTGCCTTCAAGAGCTTTCAAAGTAAAGTAATTAATGCAGTTGATCTCTTACATCGCTGAGTAAGTTTTGTTGTTTCTCTGAGGCCAGAGGAAGTTGAGGCTTCTTTCTCAGATTGCGAAGTCCTAACAGCTATGGGCTCGTCACTTCTCAAACAATCCTATGAGATATAGATAAGGGATGTCCGTAAGATGGAAAATGGCTTAGTTACAAAATACTTACTCGGTAGATGGCCCATTGTTGTAACAACATGATACATGTTTTCATAGAAGAGATGAAATTTCACTGCTGAAAGAATGTTCTCTGTGTATATAAATCTCCCCACTGTATTTTCCACTGAATGCATCCGATGAAGTGAGCTGTAGCTCACGAAAGCTTATGCTCAAATAAATTTGTTAGTCTCTAAGGTGCCACAAGTCCTCCTTTTCTTTTCACGTACAGCACAGGTGATACTGTAGAGAAATTTCAATGCTGCACAGAACAGACAAAGATAGCTATTACAGAATAGAAACATTACAGTATCCCCCAGCACATATTTAACTTTAAGCCTGTGCAGAAGTCCCCCATGCTTAAACAATTTCCTGATTAAGACAGACTGCTGAATCACAGCCTCAGTGAACTGAGATCATCTCATTCAGAGACCTGCTCAAACAGAAGCAACAGAAAGCCTCTGAGTCAACAGGAAGAGACAGGTACCAAACACTGGAAACAAATACAACCTGTCTACTACTTTAAAATTTTCAATTCAGGAACTCTAGGAGAATTCACCCTAAAAAACAGCATTCTTCAGGTTTTTCAAGGGATGTTAATAATAAGAGTTCTTTTTCTTTCAGTATTTTTGTGACTACATGGATATTCTACTAGTTGAAAGAAAACAATTTTGGTGCTTAGTTTTGAATGGCAGATGTCACCCCTTCTTGATAAGGCAGGCCTTTTTCACCCATTCTCTATTATCAAAACTAAATGCAGAGTGGCATGACAGAAGGGGCATGTGGACAAATTATCCTGGGAGGACTATTAATTCCACCTTCAATGCAGGCCACAGTTTTGCAACGTTGGTTAAAACCAAGCAGTATTCATGGTACAATTTTGTAGTTTGTGTCCTTTAAGGTGGTTTACAAAGGAAAGCAGATAAACAGCACAAAAGTGTGAATATTTTTGTATTTCTTGCTATTAAAGGAAGTTACATTAGACTTTTTTTTTATTTTGAATGTCAGTGATTAATCCAAAAAGATAAATTAAGTCATATGAAGAAATGAAAGGGTGCTGGCCTTGAATTTGCACTCAGTGTCAACAGCTACAAGAACCAGTCTCCACTCTCTGGCTCAGATCCTTATACCTCACACCAGGGTGACTGGGGGGCCACTCGGGAAGTGCCACATTTTACCACCCCCACCACTCGGGGAAGGCAGGGGATGACGGCTGTCACGGAGGAGCGAGGCCAGGCGCCCCAGCAGTGTCCAGAGACCACCCTGGCGGTCAGGGGAGAGGAATGAACTGGAACAGACGGCACAGAACAGGGAGTCCGGGATCTGTCCCGGCCCGGGGACCGCCCGTCACGCACCCAAGACCAGGCCCCCCCGAGGGGAGCACCGCATGCCGGGGCAGAGGGCACGGGGCACGTCACGGCCAGGCAGTACGCACCGGCCGCCGTGGGGAGCCGGGCTGCCCGGCGGCGCCCGGGAGGGCTTGTCCCCGCGCTCGCACGCGCGCACGCCCGGTCATGTCCCTCGCCGAGGCGCCACGCGCCGCCCTGCGAGCCGGAGACACACAGACACACAGCGTGTGAAAGACGCTGCCTGGGGCGGGGCCGTTACACCACCGCGCGTCACCCCAACCGGCTGCTGCCAGCGGCCCGGGTCACCGCGTGGCCGCGCTGGGGCGGAACCGGCTCCGCGGGGACGGATGGGGTCTCGTGCGGGCTGGAGGGGCTACGACAGGGCGGCAGACACCGGGTCCGCCAGGCGGGGCGCCCGGAGACGCCTCAGGGCCTCGCCCTAGGAGCCGGTGGAGAACGGAGAGGCGGCTCCGCGCGCTCACCAACCCCGCCCGCAACTGCCCACGCGCTCCTCCGCACACACGTGACACTGCGGAAAGCCACGCCCCCTCCCCAGCAGCCCTACCTCGCCCGCTCTAGACTAGGCGCGCGTTCCCCTGCAAGCCACGCCCCTACCCACCCCTTGGTCCCCTTCAGTGATACCGCTGCGCGGGAGAGTTGCAGGCACGTGACACCTCCAGAGACTGGCTGATGCTAGGGTTGAGCAGCCCGCCTGGGGCAGGGCAGTGGGGCCTTCTCCATGTGGAGCCGACCCCACGGTCGGGATAGGGAGAGCCCTGGGTAGGTGGCAGCCACACAGAGCCGCTGCCGCCCAGGAAAGGCAGAGAGAGCCTCCCCTTGGAAAACTATACTGCAGGCACGTTTAGGACATGGGGTGGCAATACCAGGGCACATCATGACATCACAGCCCCGCCCCAGGGTGCAGTGTCACCACAAAGTCACAACTGACATGCAATGTCATGACAGAATTGCTTCATGACTGAGGTGTGATCTTGTGACAGTCACCTCACGATGCCATCACAACAGTCGCCTTGCACCCAGACATGAACAGCTCATGCTTTCAGAAAAAAAGAAGCAAATAGATCCCAATACCTATGATGTATTTGTTATAAACATTTAGTATGCTAAGCAATGCAGCATATTTTTCCAGGCTCTTGTCAGTTTAATGTATAAGACATATACATACACATGCACGTATCCTCTTGGTGTTCACCCAGTTACAGTGGGAAGGAGACGTGCTTTCTCTGGACATTTTTGCTCAGATCTTTTAATGAACCAATAAGGAGATGGCTTTTGTGGGCTCTAATACAGAATAGGCTACCAAATTAAGTTGCAAATTTAATCCTACACAAATCTCCCCACGGTAGCCTAACATACTACAGTCAATTGTCAGGACTATCTTGAAGAGATTTCTTATCATCTCTGTTAGAGAAATGCTGTGCATTTCTCTGAAGTTCTCCAGGTTGTGCAGTGAAGATCAACAAGCACAAACATGTCTGCACATGCCAGTTCTTGTTTTGTTCAGGGCTTGTAATACCTGCTTGTGGCACACACTGAATTCCATGCACACTATGAGATGGACAGGTAAAACATTTGTGAGCTTTCCACTTCTATGACTTTAATGCTTCTAGGTTTTCCTTCATCAGAGACAACAGATTCTGGACATTTAGTAGACTTGCTTCCTTGGCTGCATTTTCTAACTCTAATCTTATTTAATCTTGGCATGGAACTGCACCTTAAATCAGCTTGGAAATTGTGTTAGTGCAGAGGTTCACTTGTTAAGCTGCGTTTCTGACCATGAGCACAAGACCCCAGTGCTCCTGGCTTTACACTGTCTGCTGGTTACTGGATTGAGTTTAAGGTGTTGTAGTCATATCATAGCTAACACCTACCCTTTGGAGAGATCACCTTTCTTCCTGTGCCATCCTGCCACAGCTAGTCAGAGGGAATACCTAAACTGGAGCCCCCTTAGTTTGCAGAGTATTTTTTGTGAAGGGCTCTAGACTTTTAAATTCATTTTTCTCCATCTCCATCCAAAATAGCCTAAATCTGTTACCATTCAAGGCTCATTTTTCCTAGCCTTTTTGGGAAAGAGGGGTGAGCTGAGATCTGGGACAGGTGCATTGGGTGTAAGCAACTGTTACTGGTATGATGTTTTTCTTTTCTTCCTAGTTTCCAGCATCAGAACATACTGGGTCAGACCAAAGGTCCATCTAGCCCAGTATCCTATCTTCTGACAGTGGCCAATGCCAGGTGCCCCAGAGGGAATGAACAGAACAGGTAATCACCAAGTGATCCATCCCCTGTTGCCCATTCCCAGCTTCTGGCAAACAGAGGCTAGAGACACCATCCCTGTCCATCCTGGCTAATAGCCATTCATGGACCTATCCTCCATGAACTTATCTAGTTCTTTTTTGAACTCTGTTATAGTCTTGGCGTTCACAACATCCTCTGGCAAGGAGTTCCACAGGCTGACTGTGTGTTGTATGAAAAAATACTTTCTTTTGTTTGTTTTAAACCTGCTGCTTATTAATTTCATTTGGTGACCCCTACTTCTTGTCTGCAGTCTGCGGGGTTTATTTTATTTCTGCATTCATTTACTATATTTTAATATATGTTAAAGGCACATACAGCCCTGAACAGATGCTTTTGTGCTTGTATCGATTTAAATAAATAAATTCTGCTGCTGGTGTACAAGCAAAATAAAATGTTTTCCAGGTAGAGGTAGTCAATATTTATGTGTATTCATGTACCTAAATTACATTATAATCTATGCAATTAATTGTGCCTACAGTTGCCTCCATTTAGAAGCATAATTACTTAATTGCACCAACAAATATTGGAGGTTGAGATTGAGATTTGGCTAAAAGAGCACTCAGGATGTTTGATTTCAGTCTCTTTAGCAGCATTTTCTAATAGATTTCAGGAACACAGGTTGTCAGTGAACAGGGTTTTTTGTTTGCTTCATGTCTGACTTGGGTGGTGCATTGGAACAAATAACCCAGTGTTTAGATGAGCTTGAAACTTGGACGAGGGCCAACTCTCTGTGACTGAATGTGGAAAAAATTGAAATTATATGTGTGGTTTTTGAGAAGTAGCCAGAAGTGGTGGTGACGTTGAACCTGACTGAGGGAAGGCAATTACTGTTTGTAACAAAAGTGTATAGCTTAGGCATATTACTAAATCCCAGGCTGCTTCTACAGGCCCAGGGAGCAGCTGTGGTTAAGAGTGTTTTTTCCGTCCACGTCTAGTAGGAAATGTATGTCCTTTCCTTTCCTATATGAACCTTTCAACAGTTATCTATGCTTTCTCACAGTGAGATTGGAATACTGTAATGCACTCTACATACTCACTAAAACACCTTAGATTAGAAACTGAAGCTAGTGCAGAATGTGATGACCTCAGGGCTGTCCTTACCCTTACGCAAAGTACGCAGCTGCGTAGGGCACCAGGAAATTTGGGTCCTGGTGCCCTGTGCAGCTGCGTGCTGCTCCAGCCCCTGCTCTGCCTCTTCCCCACGGCCTCCGCTCCACCCTCGCCTCTTCCCACTCCTGCTCCACCCCAGCCGCTACTCCTGCTCCGCCCCAGCCCACCTCTTCTTGCCCCCACCCCGCCCCTTCCTGGCCTCTTCCCACCCCTGCTCTGCCCAAGCACCGGCCCCACTCCCCTGAGGACTGAAGCAGGGCCGGGCCTGCACTCACGGGCAGCGGGAAGTGCAGCGGCCCAGCCCCAGTTGCGACGCCGGTGAGTGCTGGGGGGTGGGTCCCTCCTACCCCCCAAGCCAGCCCAGCCCCCCGACCGTGGAGTCCTGGGGCCATCCCCTCACGGACCCTGCTCCTCACCCCCCCGCCCCCTCCCAGAATAGCTAGGATGACCTGCACAAAAAGACAAAAAGACAAGTTTCAGGCTGAGAGTGTGTTACACCACAATTCTAGTGGTCCCAGCCCAAGCCCTAACATCTACACTTCAATTTTATAGCACTGCAGCCTCGGCACCACGAGCCTGAGTCACTGACACAGGCCCACCGTGGGTGCTTTACTGCAGTGCAGACATAGTCTGAGAGTCTGCCTCTCTCCTTGTGCAATACTGCCCCAGTTAAAATCCATGAAAGTACTTGAGCTAGAGACCCTCAATATAAAAGGGAGGGGATTGCTGGCAAAGTATTCTCTTTGATTTGCCAGATGTGTTACGCTTCAGGACATTTTTTTCCTCAGGCATTTAACAGTTGGGTTGAGGGTTTGAGAGGTCTGTTGCTTTCTGTGTAGTTTACGTTATCTTCTGGCATGTATTTATTTTAGGTTGGAAAGAGCAGTTAACTCCTTTGAGATTTTACTGTGAAATTAAATTATATTAGGGTACCCAGGACATGGGATGGGCACCTAGTTATGTTTATATGAATTAGAGCAGTGGTGGGCAACCTGTGGCCCATCAGGGTAATCCACTGGCGGGCCGCAAGACAGTTTGTTTATATTGACTGTCCGCAGGCACGGCCACCCACAGCTCCAAGTGGCCATGGTTCACTTTCTGGAGCTCCCATGGGCCGGGAAGGGCGAACTGCAGCCATTGGGAGCTGTGGGCGGCCGTGCCTGCAGATGGTCAATGTAAACAAACTGTATCGCAGGTTGCCCATCACTAAATTAGAGTAACTCAATAAATAGCTAAATAAATACTGAGTGTAACCTTGCCCTTAATTTATGCTCACTTGTAAGACTCTGGCCTTTAAGAATCTGGCCTAGAATGTGTGGTTGTGTGGCTGGCCTCACCTAACTGTTCTCCTTTAGCTTGACAGCAGAGGTTGCCACAATGTAGCCTTATGGAGCCAAATTCAGCTCACAGTGTCTTTAATGTGGCACTGGCATCTGAAAAAAACTATGCATACCAAAGGAACTGGGAGAAAGATGGGGCATGATGAGATGATATTTGTCACACAGGCCACACCTATGTAGAAAAGAAACAGGAGACTGTGGTCTGATTTATTCAAGGCAAATTAGATATGAATCTTGGGCTCTTGGCAAGTTGCCAAAGCCAATGTGACAAAGTTTGAACTTCCTTGTTCCACGGATTTGGAGGAAAAGTCCCCGGACACCTTGCAAGAACTTCATACAGAATCATATATTTCCTGTGAGAGTGGTGTGATGGGTTTGGTCATAGGGACCCCCTTGGGACTGTTACCTGACATGCTGGAATTACCGCTGAGCCCGTTTTCCCTGCCAGCTTGGGACTCCAGAACCTGGCCTTGTTGAGCCAGAGATGCTTGCCTTCTGCAACACAGACCCAAGTCTGGTCCATGCCCCCAAAGCTGCAGACTTTAACCAAAAACTGCTCAGCAGGTCACCTATCTCCAGCACCCAGACACCCAGTTCCCAATGGGATCCAAACCCCAAATAAATCCATTTTACTCTGTATAAAGCTTGTTAGTGTTAGTCTGTATCCACAAAAACAACAAGAAGTCTGGTGGCACCTTAAAGGCTAACAGATTTATTAGATCTGTTAGTCTTTAAGGTGCCACTGGACTTCTTGTTGTTTTTACTCATAAGCATATTTCCATAAAACATATGGTACTGTCACAGGTAGCCATTTACACTTCAAGCTTATATTTAAGGTCTACAACCCCACAATATTTTTTTCATAATACAAAATCATACATTCAAGTGATTATACAGTAGAACTTCAGAGTTATGAACACCAGAGTTACAAACTGACCGCTCAACCGCACACCTCATTTGGAACTGAAAGTATGCAATCAGGCAGGAGCACAGACCAAAAAAAATAAAAAAGCAAATACAGTACGCTACTGTGGTAAATACATACTATTAAAAAGAAAGGGAAAGTTTAAAAAAAAATGTTTGACAAGGTAAGAAAACTTTCTCTGTTTGTTTAATTTAAATTAAGATGGTTAAAAGTAATGTTTTTCTCTCCATAGTAAAGTTTCAAAGCTGTATTAAGACAATGTTCAGTTGTAAACTTTCGAAAGAACAACCATAATGTTTTGTTCAGAGTTACAGACAACCTCCATGCCCAAGGTGTTCATAACTCTGAGGTTCACCCGTAGCTTGAAAACTTATTTTTATCTGATTAAAGCCTTCTTAAAAGGTCCTTGTTGGATAAGATTTGAGAGACATTGCACCCAAAATAAGGGATTTCCCTTAAAATACAGAATAAGTGGTCTTATTAGTTCTTGCACATAGTACCAGGGTCTTGATGCAGTACAGTCTGCTGTAATAGAGACCACATGCACCGTTTTCCAATGTGCATGGGGGTGCTCGATCCCCGGCTCTGCCTCAGGCCTCAGCCCCACTCCACCCCTTCCTCCAAATCCCCATCCCTGCCCTGCCTCTTCCTGCCCCCACTCTGCCTCCATACCACCTCTTCCCACACCTGCTTCACCCCCACCCTGCCTCTTCCCTCCCCGTTCCACCCCCTCCCTTGAGCGCCCTGCCCTCGCTCCTCCGCAGTGCCTCCTGCACGCGGCGAAACAGCTGATCATGGCTGGTGGGAGGCTCAGGGAGGGAGGGGGAGGTACTGATCAGTAGGGCCCACCAGTGGGTGCTCAGCGCCCACCATTTTTTCCCCATGGTGCTCCAGCCCCAGAGCACCCACAGAGTTGGCACTTATGGTAGAGACCACTGCAAAGTGAAATCTATGCAGAGAAGATTTTATGAGGTTCTGCATGAAGCACACAAAGGAATACATATCGAGCCATAATATTATTGCTTGCCATTTCCTGCACTGTATATTCTGTAATCTTCATGTCTGCGAAGATCAAAGCAATTAAAATGTACTTTACCACAGTGCAAAGTACATAAATCTGAGGGTAAGTATCTCCTACGCAAAGGCTGTATGTGAAAAAGAACAGTATGACCTTTATTTCAGTGTTCCCTTTCAAACCAAACATGTCAGCTGGTTCACTGTACTTAGTACTGTACCAGTTCTTTAAAAAAATATGAATGAACTGGATCGTTCGTGATCATGACTGTACTGTGGCTGGATTAGACAAATACAGTACCACCTATGATTATGATGGTATGTAAAAATGGGCTGCAGCAAGGAAGAACTCCTGTACCCAGCAAAGAGGCTTAGTTAAAACATCACAGCACAGAGAATTCTCTCTCTGAGGCAAAATCCAGGGGATTATAAAACACAGAAGCTTATCTGAAGGATAAGTGAGAGCTCCAGCAAGTACTTCAGATTAATAGAGTTGTCACACAGTTTATCCAGGCAGAAGTCACAAGAGTCAGACAGTTTTAAGGAGCACTCCTCTTCTTTTATTTGTATGTACTACTGTGGTCCCTTCTCAGTGCTTCTGTAGAGTTTGTTATCTGCAGCTCTCTTCAGAATACTTTATGAACATTAAACTAGGGTTGTTGATTAATCACAGTTAACTCATGCAATTAACTCAAAACAATCATGATTAAAAAAATTAATCATGATAAATTGCAGTTTTAATCACACTGTTAAACAATACCAATTGAAATGTATTAAATATTTTGGATGTTTTTGTACCTTTTCAAATATATTGATTTAAATTACAATAACAGAATACAAAGTGTACAGTGCTCACTTTATATTATTTTTATTACAAATATTTTCATTGTAAAAATGATAAACAAAAATAGTATTTTTCAATTCACCTCATACAAGTACCATAGTGCAATCTCTTTGTCGTGAAAGTACAACTTACAAATGTAGATTTTTTTTCTTACATAACTGCACTCAAAAAC